AAAAAAATTAAGAACTGGAGAAAGTGTAATCAGTGCAACAGAGGTCTAAAACAGTGAAGTGTTGCTTTTCTTCATTCACTATTGCTGCCTTCCTCTAACTCCCTTCTGCCACCCATTCCATGGTAAGAATCCAAGCTCGTCTTTGGAATGACGAAGTTACTAGACTTAAAATGTCCCTAGAAAAGGCAATATAGCCAAATGTTTATATTTCAAAAAGAGTCTAAAAGTCTTTACAAGTACAAATACCCAATATAAGTTTTAACGTAAAAAAGTGACTGAATAGATTAGGTGCTGTTAGTATCCTTGAAAGCAAGATTTGTCTGTGAAAAAAACAGCCTAGATAATCTATAACAAAAAACTGTTGGCATTCACTTTTTAAAAACTGATTTGTCTTCATTTATGTACTAAAAGTAATTTGCCTCCTCAGGGAACTGTAAGAGTTGGTAATACTCTGAGCTGTCAGCAGGATAAAAAATATTGTAACTTTCATTATAAAAATCATGAAATTACATTCCTCAGATGATCACTGGCTAAAAATCACTAAAAATATATTTTATATGTGGGATATAAAGAGAAATTGTTTACATTCTCTTAATTTTAAAATGCAATTATAATTTGGAATTTGTTATTTCAGCATTTGGAGGTACCTTCTATGGACATAGTGAAACTGCCCCTGGATACCTGTTACTAATAAATAATTGGTGTGCTATCCATGGCTCAAAGGCTGATGCCCTGTTCTGGGTCACCTGGCAATATATCGGAATACAGCTGGGTATGAAAGGTTTCCTGTTGTGCTGCTCTCCTGGAAATAGCCACAGGAATGAGGCTAGAGGGGTGGGGAACTGTGGACTTCTGATTTCAAGATTCTTCTTTTTAGGCACCAAAGGAGACAAGAAAAGCTTCATCTTTCTCTGCTGCACCCCTTTCAGTAAAAGGATTTGTTCTGCAAAATTTAGAGTTAGTCAAAAGGCTGCAATTAAGGACCTAGAAGGCCACATTTCGCCTTAAGGACGTAGGTTCCCCACCCCTGCAAGTGGCACAATGTGATGAATACATCTACAATATTGGTGTTAGTTTTCTTGTGGGAGTGGCATCCTGGTACAGTAGTTTTCACTCTGTTACAAGCAAATTCAGCATGAAGTGACAGCGGGGGGACACACATGGAAAAAACATAAGAAAGAGAGAAAAGAAGTGCAAATAATAGAAATATAACAAAAGTTAAATGAATAGCATCAGGTAATAACGTGAAAATAAAGTGATTGGTCATTGTATGGCTATTTTGAATGGACTTTATATATGTGAGCATATTTTGTAAAAAGTACAATGTGTTAATTAGTGAAGAAAAGCACCACCTCTGTGATGTAAGTAAAGGAAAAACAAATTCACTATATTTTAATAATTATTTTTCATAAAAAGACCACAAAGATGGTAAAAGAAAGGTGGCAAGGAAAACAAGAATGAAACAAGAGAAGTTTTAACCTCAATCTGGGGGAAAAACGTCTTTACTCATAGAGAAAATTGCCTCTCTCTGATAATCATATTAATACCAATGAATCTTAGATTAACATTAGCCTTTATGAACTTGACCCCTTTCAAGTTGAAACTCATCATTTTCTTTTTCATGATGGTAAAAGACCTTTGGGCATTGTCTACAAATTTCCATTCAATTGCCAAGAAAAGGGTTACTTCATTTTCTAGGTACATGATAATCAAAGTTGATGGTAACAGGCAATAGTGACAGAAAAGAAGTTAGGATTCAAACAAAGAAACAGAAGAAGCACATTGAAACAACAACTATTAAAAAACAGGCTGTAGGAAAGCATCACAGGAGAAGAAAGACTGACAGATAATAAAAAGGACAAATAAAGCCAGAGTTAAAGAGACTCAGAATCAAAGAACAAAAAAAGAAAAAAGCAGAAACTGAACAAGTGAAAGTACATTTAGCTCTACTAGAAAAAATAAAGTAGCTAAAAATGCACATGAAAAAGTTACAATAAAAGGTAAATATAATATCATTTTGAAGTAGAAAATGGGAAAAAATAAATTCCAAAGGCAGTAAAAGTATGTGCAAATACATACTATATTAGAATTGGCATTTATATAAGGGAATACTTTAAAATCCTATTTAGAAATGTTTTCATTGTATTATTAGGAAGAGCATTAATATGAGGAATTATGTCCTTACAATAGAATATACAGAGTACTCATTTTAAAAAAATTATTTGGCCATGTAGTTAGTACACTGTGTAAAGGATCTCATACATTGCTAACATATATTTATAAATGAGAAGAATAAGGCAAAAAAAAAGATTAGCTGAAAGTCTAAGTTCACTTTTATCTTAATCTAGTGACACACATACACTCAAAAAAAGCAAACACTCAAACCGTTCTAGAAAATAAGAATGACCTAGCATTTCTATAAGGAGATTAACATGATCTCTAATTTATGAATAATTTCTGTGGTCTCAGTTTTCTAGCTAACATAAAGACTATGGCATCACATTTAGCCAGCCAATAGTTTATCAACATCTGACATACACCTTTTAGTTCTTTCACTTTCTACCATAGAAAAAACAGGAAAAATACCCTTGTGCCCTCTGCTTTATACTTCTGATAAAGTGCTGTGGAGTTAGATCCATTTGGGTTCAAACTCCCCCACCTTCTCTATATATTAGCGGTGTGAGTTTAGTCAAGTTAATAATCATCTCTAGGTCTTTGTTCCCTCATAGGTAAAATGGAGATATTTAAAATACTATCTGCTTTATATTCCTCCCAAGGTTGTTTTGAGAACAAAATTGACATGATGTACATTAAGTACTAAGCATGGTGACTGGCACATAGCAAATATTACCTGCCATTATTATTATTATTCTATCTGTTCAAGTCAGACCCAAGGGATAATTTATGTTTATTGTATCATCTATCTTTTTTTCTTCCCATAAGGTAGGAAAAATTGAAGGGCTTTACCCCAGAATGACCTTTGTAGCCCATCACATCTCCAAGTTATTATTTACATCATCACCACAAAATACTGAATGAACTTTTACATAGACACCTTTTTATAAGCATGTTTATCCCCTTCAGAATTCAGTTTAAGCTGCTGAAATAATATTCTTACCTTGGTAAATCATTCAAAACATATTTGCAAATTGGGTCCACAGTATTCCCATCCAAGGTACCTTTAGGGTTGCTTTGCTGTGATACCTCCATTACTTTTGTCAAGGGGGATAAAGAAGACTGAAATAGTGCTTCTCTGTGATCTTCTGCTTCTAGTTTTGCCATTTTCATCTATGAATGATAAAGAATGTTATTTAATTTAAAATGTAAAATCCATTAGAAATTAACAGAGATGAGAGCCTAAAGGAAGAAAAAATACGAATCTAAGTCTATAATTGGTATAATCCTGTTTAAGAAAGAAAAAATGCTAATTTGTTACAAAATATTTTAATTTTTGCTGTTTGCTACAACACCACTTATATAAGCAAATTTACGTGTGAAATACATTACTGAAAAAGCACAACACTTTTTTTTGGTCTGTCCTTTGTCATCTCTTCTTTTTTGGAACTTACCTTCCTCTGGATTCTGATGGGACTGTCAATTACGTGGCCTGGACTTCCAGACAGGGAAAGGAGTGTCCCAAGGCATGTCAATCAAAGTGCCCTATTCCCAGACACAAAGACTGGTAAACCAGAGTTCAGATGAAGAAGAGAAAGTAGTGCTCTATTTGCTGGCATGGCTAGCTTTAAGAAGAATATAAACCTCTATCATTAAGAATGAGGCCAAAAGAGATGAAAGCAGACACAAGAGACAGAAAGTGAGATTTCTGATGATGACATTTCAGTCCCTGAAACCAGCTATTAAAAACAACCACATCTCTCAAGTTTCCTAGGTACATGAGCCAACAGTTTCCTTTCTTCTGCTTAAGCTACTTTGAATTGAGATTCTCTTATTTGCAATCTAGAAATCTTGAATAATACATACAGACAACCTAAAATTTGTTAAGACCAAACCAATGTGCCCATAAGAAATAATGTCAAAGCATGTAATCAATAGGACCCTTTCCAGGATGTAATCATGCTCTCACATGCTGAAATAGCTACAAGGTCTCATCACTGATGTAGCCCACTAAAACAACAAGGAGGAATCCCAAGGTATGAAAACATACCAGGACTAAGGAAAAGATACTACTTTTAAAGTAATAAAAATATTACTTTTACCTTTTTTCTGTTGTTCTGAAATAAAAGCATTCGTTTATTCACAAATTACTTATTAGATTACCTTCATTGTACCTAGCATTGTTCTAGGCACTTAGAATGCTTCAGTGAACAAAGAAGAAAAAGATTGTGCCCTGTGCAACTTACATTTTAGAGGGATCAGATAATAAACAATAAACAAGTAAATTGTATAGATGTTAAAAGGTGATAAATGCTATGGGGAAAAAAATGATGAGGGAAAGGTAGATGGGAGTATAAGGGTGGAGGGAATTGCAACTTTAAATAGGGTTGTCAGCATAGACCTCATTGAGGTTGTAGCATCTGGGCAAAGACTTGGAAGGGGAAAGGGAGTTAGCTATGTAGATACCCAGGGAGGTAGATATCCAGAAGGCCCTAAGGTGAAATATATCCGGCAAGTGTGAAGAAGAGCAAAAGTAAATGAACTGATGATCAAGGGGGAATGTAGTTGGGATGAGGTTAGAAAGGCAATGGAGGAGGTGAAGAAAACATAGGGCTCTGTGGGACATTATTAGGCTTTGAAAGACTTAGAAAGCCCTTGGAATGTTTGGAGCATGAAGCAGTATGATTTTTTTAAAAGATAATTTTGGCTACTTTGTTAAGAATGTATCAAATGCCTGCATTGCAATGTTCTGATTTGTCCATATATTATTTTCTAATACTTGCATAAACTGTAGCAGCCAATTGTCTGCCAATATATATTCCTTCTTTCTTCTATAAGACTAGAATCCTTGATTTTTAACTGAGGCATATGGCTGCCAAAAATAAAGACTAAATTTCCCAGTCTTTCTTGTAATTGAGTAGGACCATATGAACATGTCCTGGCCAATGGCATATTAATGGAAATGATACATGAAAGTGAGTCTACCCTTCTTTTTCCTTCTTTCTGCTACCTAGAATGAAGAAAATGGCTAGCTCTGGATTGGTCATCTTTAACTTTGACGTGATGCTAAGGATGAAAGCCAGGACCCAGGGAGGATAAGAGTGTGAATCTCTGACAATATGAGTATCATACCAACCCTGGACTACTTGCTACTAGACTTTCACATGAGAAATAAACTTTTAGCTTGTCCAAAACAGTATTAATTTGGGCCTTTGTTACGTGTAGTTAAACATAGTCCTAAAACACCTGACACTCTCTTGAACTAAGTTGTTTTTAGAACCTAAAATACGTGGTATTAACTTAGAGTAGGGATATGGGGAAAACACTAGGATGGCTTGAAATCTAAATTTAACTCAGAATCCAGTAATTTGGGGCTTGGGGCCTTTCAGGGTTGAAAATTTCAACTATTTCTGTATCCCAAACTGAAACCATTAAAAGTACCACACTAAAGTAGTAGCTGTAGAAGAAAAGACTGTGACTCCAAGCCTTTTAAAAATATTTTCCTTTAAGAATTCTTTTCTTTCTTTCATTTTTTTTTTGAGAGCTAAATAAAGTCCTTTTTATTAAGCCAATGGCTATGTCAATTTATCTTTGTCACACAATAAAACTGGCCCAGTTGTCAAAGATCAGATTAAGGTTGCTGCCTGCCCACCCAAGCTTATTATATTAGAAGACCTCAAAGGAATCACCTTTCTGTTGAGGCATAGTCAGGGAATTAAAAAAAAAATAAGTCACCATGCCAAACAGTCTGTCCCAGGCAAATCAAGATGTATGGTCACCTATCTGTATATCAATAGCCTCCTTTTTACATGAGAAAGTACTACTCTATATCGCTATAGTTGCATATGGATGCATAGGACCTACCAAAGATTTATTTTATTGTTTGCTACTTCTTAAAGAAGGTACCAAAAAGTCTCTGTTTGTGTCTTGACGTGAAGATATTTATTTATTTACTCTCCAAGAAAGGATGAAAGGCACTTCCTCCTCACTAGCTCTATTCCCAACGGTGAGCAGGCTTTCCTATTTCAGAGGTCTGTTCTTTCTTTATTCGGAGATGATACATGGACCTTTTTGCCTTTTCAAAATCTGGGCCTAATAGGCTTTTAAGTTACATTCTGGATTTCCCAGGATATAAAAAAGGTTAACAAGATTTGGTCTGCAGTAGACAACTCTACCTCAGCACAACTACTCTGGGGCAGTGAGATCTTGGAGAAACATGGCTGGGGTATATGTGTGTGTGTAAGAGAGAAGGAAAGAGGGGGGATGGGGGAGGAAGGGAGAGAGAGAGGTAGATTTGAAAGGTCAGGCAATATGAGCTGTGATCTGGGGGACCCAGTGAAGGGCACTCTAACTGAGTACAGCACTGAAGAAATTGAATTATCCTCCATGATGGTTAATTTTATGTGCTAACTTGACTGGGCCATGGTGACCAGATATTTGATCTGAGTGTTATCTGCGAAGGTGTTTTTTGGATGAGATCAACATTTAAATGGGTGGGTAGACTTTGAATGAAGCAGTTTACCCTATATCATCTGGGTAGGCCTCATCCAATCAATTAAAGGTTAATGGTACAAAGGCTGAGTAAGAAGGAATTCTGACAGCAGACTATCTTAGGGGTTGAACTGCAACTCTTCCCTAAGCCTCTCACCTGCCAGCCTCCCCTGTCAGATTTTGGACTCACCTAACCTCCACAATCCCTTAAGCCAATTCTTAAATCTCTCTCTCTCTCTCTCTCTCTCTCTCTCTCTCTCTCTCTACATACACACACACACACAAATGTATATACTGTCATGCATCACTTAATGACAGGAACACATTCTGAGAAACGTGCCATTAGGTGATTTCATAGTGTGAACATCATAGAGTATGCATACATAAACCCAGATAGTTTAGCCTACTACACACCTACAAGGGGTGGAGAACCTATGGTCTTAGGGCCACATGTGGCCTTCTGGATCTGTGAGTGTGGCCTTTTGACTGAATCCAAATTTTATAGAATAAAGGGATTTGTTCTGTGAAGTTTGGATTCAGTCAAGGAGGTGAACTTAGGGATTTAGAAGGCTACATGTGGCCTTGAGGCCACAGGTTACCCACCCCTGATAGGCTACAAATCTGCACAGCATTTTACTGTACTGAATACTACAGGCAATTGTAACAATCATAAGACACATGTCTAAACAAAGAAAAAGTAATGCATTTTGCCACAACATTACAACCGCTATGACATCACTAGGTGATGGGAATTTTTAACTCCACTATAATCTTATGGGACCACCATTGTATATGTGGTCCATCACTAACTGAAACATTGTTATGCAATCTATCACACACATACACACACATCCTTTTGGTTCTACTTCTCTGGAGAACCCTAACTAATATACCCTCTTTCAGAGGCCATGCCAGCTGCAAGGCTGAGCTGGAATTGGAGCTAGAAAGACTTTCCTGAAGCAAGGACCAATAGAGCCAGTCAGATGATGCATGCAATGGAGACAATAGTGGTGATATGGGTCAGCAAGAAACTATGGCAACAGCAGCACAACCAATAATATCGGCAGCACCAACAGACAAACTGACTGATGCCAGGGCTCTTCCTCATTTGGGAGAGGGCAGCTGAAGGACTTGTTGAACTACAATTAACCCCTAAAGTCCTTAGATAATCTACAGGAAATAGGAAGTTTAAAGAATATGATGCTACGCTTGCTGCTAATTAAGCATATGAAAGAATAAAAGAAATTTAACTTATAGCCGTAAGTATTATGGAGAAATTCACATATATGGTACATAAAAGAATGATCATGTCTTTTTCTAGCACTGTCTAGCTAAGTGACCTTGAGCATCACAACCTTTCTGAGCCTCAGTCTTCTCATCTGCAAAGCAGGGTTATTCACATGGTTATGAGGATTAAATAAAATGGTGAAAGTGAAAGCATTTGGCATAGTGCTTAGCACATGGTAAACATTCAATAAATGTTAGGTGACTCTGAATCTATATCAAGTAAGAAAAGGTATTTCTCTCAACATTGTTTAATAAAAGAAATTTTAATATTATCGCTTCTCAGCCTTTTGGCTAAGATCGAGTGTAATATTAAATAAGGGTGCTCTGCCCAGCACTCCTCCGGTATTTCCATTGGAGACTAAAGGACTGTTGGCATTAATACTCCTCCT